TCTTCAGCTGCTTTTTAAAGGAGACCACTGAGTCCACTGATCTCAGGCTCAGGGGGAGAGAGGTCCAGAGTCTGGGGGCCACAGCAGCAGATGATCTGTCACCTTTGACCTTTAGCATGGTGCTGCACAACCAGTAGGCTTTGATCACTGGACCTCAGGGACCTGCTGGAGGTGTAGGGACTAAGAAGATCACCAATTAAGAACATTCATCCAAAAGCTGATGAAAGCATGAAGGTTTTCTATTCTGATTTAAACGTTTCTAGAGCTGGGGCACATCTGAGGTCATGAGGAAGCTGATTCCATCTGTGAGCAGCACAGTAGCTAAAAGCAGCTTCACCTGTTTGGTTCTGACCCGGTTCTACCAGCTGACCGCTTCCTAAGGACCTCCTGCTGGGCTACGGGAAGGAGCTCTAACGTGTACTCTGACCCCATGCTGCTGAGTGATTTATAAACTAGTAGAAGTACTTTGAAATGGATTGTGTAGTTTACTGGTAACCAGTGTAGAGGTCTAAGAACAGGAGTGATGTGTTCGGTTCTCCTGGTTCTTGTTAAGACTCTAGCAGCAGCGTTCTGAACAAGCTGCAGTTGCTTCACAGCTTTTTGGGAAGACCAGTTAGGAGACCATTGCAGTAGTCCAGCCTGCTGTAGATGAACACATGAATGGGTTTCTGTAGGTCTGGTCTGGCCATGAGACCTCTGAGTCGTGCTTTTTGAAGCAGAAGATAAAACGCCGATCCAGTTACAGCCTTAATGTGAGCAGTGGAGCTCAGGTCTGAATCCGTTATGACACCAAGATTTCTAACCTGGGTCTTTGTCTTTATTCCTCTGGAGCCGAACCGAGCAGCAACCTCCGTCCTCCTGACGTCCAAAGACGATAACCTTCTTAGCTAGTTTTCTGTTATAGTTTTACGACTTATTAAAGGAAATCATACGGCACCAGACTCATTATTCACTTCACACACATTTCACTGTAATATCCAGTCGATGGTCATTGAAATGTTTTTAGATTTGCTTCTACTTCACCGTTAGCTTTGTTAGCTCAACATTAGCCTCTAGCTTGCTTCACCTGATTAGAGTAAAACAAAAAGAGGCCGTGGCTTCTTGGGGGTACAAGCAATACCTTTTGGGTTGCTCCCGGTTACTGGCTTTGGTTCTGTACACAACTCTGGAGCTTGTTGCCTGCTGGTGTCAAATTACAAATGGCGGCGCAGCAGTTAGCTCAGGCTGGACCTTGTGGGCTCACAGATATAAACAGTGACTACGTCCCTCTTTGGTTATTTTGAAAGGAGAAAAACTGACCACTCCCCAGCCGACGGAGGATTACATCTGTTTCCACAGAACCAGAACCAGAGTGACTGAGCCATCAGACTGTTTTCTGGTTATTTCACTGTAGAATTATTACTTATTGCTCCTTCAAGAAAACCATTGACACGTCTCCTTTAAACTGAATGTTCTGGTCAGACCTGATGACCTCATCGTTTCTTCAAACATCCATTCTGATTCAGTTGTTGTTTGTTGTGAAGTTTATTTTTTCTGCAGTTAAATAAGATTTTATGTAAGTTTTATTTATTTTCCAAGAAAGGACAACTTGGAAATCTTTGACAGTTTTTTTCCAGAGTTTTAAGCATAAAGTTCTTCTCAGTCTGCACACATCGGGGTAATGAGAGGTTCCACCGTTAACGATGGCGACCGCAGATCAAGGAAGCGCTATTTCACCGAAGCAGAAACTGAGGTTCTTGTGGGTGAGGCGGAAAAATGAAGTACAAGTGATAACGCTGCAGGATTTCATAACTTTATCCTTCTCAGCAGCAGCACTGCAGGTGCTCTCCATGTCCAGCATGTGTGTAAGCCAGGCCCTTAGTCAACTTAAAGTTACGCACATTTTTCCGCTAAGTTTTCTTTCATGAATCCCAAAGTTTGCGTGGAAAGTTGCTTACGCAGTTTTCCGACCCCATTTTGTGCGTAAGCTAGCTTGATGAATGAGGCGCCTGGAAAGGCTTTTCAGTCACCTTTAGACTAGTCCTTAACCTGCTGATCGTCCTCAGCTGCACCAAACACGTTAGTCTGCAGTAATGCATTCATTCCTGCCTGCTTTTTCTCATTATATCAAATTATTTATCACTTTAATACAGTTTTGCTGTTTATTTATTTAAAATGAGGGATTTAAAGTTTTAGCTCTTCATCCTGCACTCTGTTTGCTTTTTATTTCTGCTCAGTCTCCGACATGAATAGTAGCTGGTGATCAAAACGTAAGGAGTATGAATGAATGAATGAATGAATGAATGACAGCCACGGGCAGCACTTAAGGACTGGCTTGTGCTCAAACACATTAAATGATTATGATCTGGTTTCTGCTGCCAGGTCACATAAATGTTCCTGATCTCAGCCTGACCTTCATGATGATGCCACTGCTCTTCTTATCTAACACACACACACACACACACACACACACACACACACGGCTCTGGTTTTAAACGTGGAGGAAAGCATCATTTATGTCCGATCTTGTGATGAAGCAGTCAGCTGTTGCAGCCAGAGATGAGTTTTATAACTCCGTAACTCATTATTTGTGTTTGCGGCTGATGCTGATGGTCAGACGAGGCTGGCCTGGACTCTGACTGGTTTTTGTACACACAGCAGCGGGCAGGAGTCCGTTATATTTAACTATAATGCAGGAAACCTACAGATGTGAAAACACAAACAGAATTAAAGTCCCGTCATTCTTTAAAGGTCGGCTCTTACTGAGACGTGATGGGTTCATCTGTAATCTCACACAGAGTGGCGCAGTGGCGGCTCCAGAAATGTTTTTCTGCAGGCGCTATGAAGGAGCTAGTCTTTTTATTGAGGGTGCTATGAAGGAAGTGGTCATGCGTACCTGTTGTTCTCTAAAACACCTTCAACACTAGCAGACACACATGCGTGCACAACACCTCAACAACACCTGAAACAATCATTAATATACATCATAAACATGAACAATCGCTGACTTTTCCATGAAATCATAAACATACAGCCACACAGAAAACCATCTATAGTGTTGCAATGTTAGCTAACGTTAGCGTTAGCATTTCCAGCGGCTAAACCCTGGACTGCTGCGGCGGTTGAGGGTTGACTCTCTTCATCCAGATCCGTAGGTTTCTGTGGGTCTGAGATCACTTCCAAACATTCATTCGTTTCTGACTGAACCCGTGGAAATGTGGGCAACAAAAACTGATCCATCTTACCGCTAGCTAGCTCTACATTTCACTTGTTCACGGGTGGAAAATGAGGTCAAAGGTTAACATCAATTTCCTGTTTTGGTTTAAGTTTTTTCTATCTCTATGATAATTTACTGATTATTTAAGTTTTGTATGTTAAATATTATCACATCCACACGTTAACTAAAAATTAAACTGTAAAAAAATAAATCTAATATTTACTTGGGGTGCTATGGGGGTGCAATGACTAATCCAGGGGTAGCTATAGCGCCCCCTAGCACCCCCCCGGCGCCGCCACTGGTGTGACGAGATCTATAAAATGAGCTAAATTAAAGCCATTTAGCTTTGACGGCCATCTTGAATCCATCAGTTTTAGACAAATATTCATTATTATTTTCCTGAAAGTTTCATTGATGTCAATCCAGACCAGGTCCACTAGATATTTTACCAACGAAGTCCTCATCATAAACTTTATTCATGTAGCGCTTTCTAATTTCAGTCAGCCCAAAGCGCTTAACACAACAAATAAAAACATCCCGACAACAACAAACACACCAAATCACAACTCACACGAACCTGCCTAATTAAAAGCTGATGAATAAAACGATTAAAAACCTGGAGCTGTTCGAACAGCTAAAGGCAGATCCTTCCACAACCAGACCATGGCTGCATGGTGGTGCAGCGGTTAGCACTGTTGCCTCGCAGCACGAACGTTGCAGGTTCGAAACTCGGCTGCGGCCTTTCTGCGTGGAGTTGCGTGTTCTCCCCGTGCATGCGTGGGTTTCCTCCGGGTACTCCGGTTTCCCCCACAGATCACAACATGCCCTATAGGTTATAAACTGTAAGTCGCTTTGGATGAAAGCATCTGCTAAATAAATAATCACAAACTACCAAGAAGGCTCTGCCACCTCGCGTTCTTGGGGTAGACAGCAGACTCCGGTCTGCAGACCTCAGTGAACGTGTTGGAGCATGGCGGTAAAATCTGCTCTAAAACAGACCGGTAGCCAGTGTAAGTCCGCCTTATAAATTCCACCTTAATGCCCGTCAATGAGAACAACTTAGAGCCGTTTTCAGGCCCGTTGGCTTTGTTTAGTAGACCGATCTGAATGAGCCTCGGCGACCCCAAACCCGGATTTGCCAACGTTTTAGTCCGAGACTAATGCAGAAAATTCATGGTAATTAAAAAAAAAGATGAAGTTGGTCAAGAAAGGGTCGTTTTTAACAATTTGAAGATAAAAATGTTAAGAAGTGATGATCAGTGGCCTACTAAAGAGCCAGATGCAACAGGGGACCACATAGAACCTCTCCGAGGGCTGAAAACAGCCCCCAGCCCCCAGTTTGGACACGTCACGAACATCTCGTCCAGTGGTTACTTAGTGAGGAACTCATCATGATTAGTTCTGCTGTTTATTATATTTTCAGCTGACTCTGTTTGCAGCTGATTCACTCATTCATTTAGACTCCATAACTGAGGAGGTGACGAAGCAGCAAACGCACCAAAGCAGAACAGTTTTTCTATTATTCACGTTCCTGACATCATCCTGACATCATCCTGACATCATCCTGACATCATCATGACATCATCCTGTATTAACGTGTGAGGAGTTTGTTTTGTAGACCACAGAAGTGACTTTAGAGTCGTTTTCTTCGCTCCTCCAGGATGAACTCCCAGACATCTCCCACGGATATCCGGCTTCATTTGAGCACACAGCTGTAGAGTTTAGCACTGTAGAGTTAGCATCTGCACCAAAATACTGAATGACATCATCTTTTTACCTTACTGATGCTCCTTTGTGCTTCCAGGAGACGGACAGGTGGACTTTGAGGAGTTCATGACGATTCTGGGTCCCAAGCTGCTGTCCTCTGAAACAAGGGAAGGCTTTCTGGGCAACACCATCGATACCATCTTCTGGCAGGTAAGCTTTTGTTCTCGTCATCAAAATCTATGAATTTCATGTTCATTTCCTCGAACTCGACTCAAACTTTATTCGTAAAGCACTTCAGAGACACACACGCGCCACCAACGTGCTTCACAGGCACGAGTAAAAACACCTGCTGTAAGTCTATTAATGGCCTGTATTTGATAAAGTGCCTTCTGGAGTCCTGGAACCCCCCAAGGCACTTTACATCACAGCCATTCACCCATTCACACGCTGGTGGTGATGAGCTACATTGTGGCCACAGCTGCCCTGGGGCACTACCGGCCCCACGGCCCCCCGACCCCCACCACCAGAAGGGAAGGGGGGGTTAAGTGTCTTGCCCAAGGACACAACGACAGCGACAGACTGAGTGGGGCTCGAACCTGCAACCTCTCGATTACGGGGTGGGCGCTTAACTCCTGTGCCACTATTGCCCCTAATAAAACAATACAGGCATATAAAATAAAAACAACCACAGAAAAAACGGCACCATCACTCACCCAGAGTTAAAACGGGTCTTCAGCTCAGAAGTAAAGCTGCTGCAGGAGAGGACCACCCAGCATGCAGAAGCTCACCCCAGAGCTCTGGAGCTGCCACTGAAAAGGCTCTGTCCCCCCACATCTTCAGCCGGGTCCTGGGAACCACGAGCAGGGGCTGATCTTCAGAACGGAGTACTCGGGAGGGAACGAGTCTGTCTGCAGCTCTGGAGCCGCTTCATGGGTCACACGTTTAGGTTAAATGTAGAACAGTGGTTCCTCACCGTTGTGCTTGGATGCACCAACAGCAGCACATTCTCACACCTGTTGGGTAGTTGTCTCCCATCCAGGATTACCTTGGGGAAAGTTCAACACGCAGGGGTTATGATAAAGACGATTAGGGTGTCCCAGCGCGTCGGGAGAGGACGCGCTGGGACAGAGCGTTGGTATCCGACGCGCGCGGTGAGACGGACATTTGACCGTCTTGTGAACTGCTTAACCTTCCCCTCACCCCCGTTCTAACCCTAACTAGGTTGCGCATGCAAAGCTTAATTGGAAATGAATGAGTTAAGGTTAGGATGGGGGTGAGGGGAAGGTTAAATCGCTAGAAGTTTGAGGAATAATATCCGTGTCACCGCGGGCGTCGTATACGTGTCCCTGCACGTCCTCTCCCAACGCGCTGGGGAACACTAATCGTCTTTATTGGACGCTTTGTGTGTGTGTGTGTGTGTGTGTGTGTGTGTGTGTGTGTGTGTGTGTGTGTGTGTGCGTGTGTGTGTGCGTGTGTGTGTGCGTGTGCGTGTGCGTGTGTGTGTGTGTGTGTGTGTGCGCGTGTGTGCGTGTGTTTGTGTGTGTGCGCGTGTGTGTGTGTGTGTGTGTGTTACTATGATTGATGAACAGGCCTAATAAGCTTTGATGAAGGTGAAATGATGTCCTTTAGGAAGCAGGCTGATTGACTTTGAGGGACTGATGTGATGAAAGTAGATAATAAAAAGGAAGCAGTCTGGATGATGAATCAAGCAGGTGAGTAGAAGAGTGAAGCGTTTGGCTCAGATAGAAACTCTTGGTCCGCTCATCGTCTTGATGTCATCACCAAGCTGAGCCCCGTTGCCCCCAGGAGCACGATGATGTGGTTTAGTAGACAGCACGAGTGTTTGGCTGGAGGATGATGCTGTCAGTCACTTTGAGTCATGGAATAAATCTGTTTGGTTTTACTTTCTGAACTAGCTGCTAGTTTGAGCCAAATGCCCTCCGGTAGCTAGGCTTGTGATTCATTCTGGGGGTGGGGGGGTGTTAGAGCATGTTAGCTAGCTCGATAAGAACACACAACCTTCTTCCTGTATCTGCCTCTGGTAGCCCCACCCCCAGACTCTCTGACCAGTCAGCTGGTTTGTAGTTACGCTTTAGTCCTTTGATGATTTTTGTGTGGCTGTTTTTCAGCTACTGGGGTCAAAGGTCATCTGTGGTTCCTGAGATGTTTTGCAGACTTAAACCGAATTGGCCAATCCAGAGTGTGTTAGCGACGACGGCAAATGTCAAACTGACTGATTTACAGCTTCATTTGTTTTGTTTAGGAAGCGTTGGCTGAGGCGGCCATCTTTAATTGGATTTAGCTAATAACAACAAAGGCAGCATGCGAAGCCTGATGATATGTTTTAATACATTTACAGAGGAAGCTATTGGAAGGAAACTGAATGTACCATGAAACTCGTGGAGTGAGTCTTAACGTGGCAGGTTTGTGTTTTCAGTAGAATTTCACAGATTCAGTCACTAACATAAAAAAGCTAATCTGTGGCTGGTGCAGCTGTCTGACTCGTTATCAGCCGAGTGTTTCTAACAGCCTCAGAAGATGAATGATCGTCGCTGCTGTTAAAGCCTCATTGAGCACGTTTGGGAAACAACAAAGGGACAAAAACAAAGACGATGTGTTTCCAGAGCAGACAACATTTTTGTTCTACCCAGATTGTAGCTACGCAGCAGGCGAAGACAGCTTTAGCACTTGTTTAAAAAGGAGTTCTGTTTAATTCGGTTCAGCAACACAAGAGGGAATGATCCCATCATTGTCATTAGGGATGAGCCGGATACTCGTTTCAGACGAGTATCCGGTACGGATAAAGCATTTTTGACGAGTACGAGCATGAAACGAGTAAAACTCATAAATATCTGTAATCGTGCTGAAGGAAAATCCTCATTGGGTAACTGACTGTCTTCACGCTCTGTGATTGGCCAGTCACATTGAGCGCCCGCCCCTCCCTACACACAAAACTCTGCAGCCGGGAGCTCACAGCTTAGTCCGTGTCCGGTCCATGCACGCACGCACGCACGCACGCACACACACACACACACACACACAGTAACGGATCTCTCTCTGCTTGCTTCACTGTTCACGTTTCTTCAGTACTCCCTAGGTTTTCTTCAGTTTGCTTCTTTTTAAAGTTACTTTAAAGTTATTTAAAGTTACTTTTTTCGTAACGTACGTGGTGCATTTGACGAGACAGAGCTGAGAACGGCTCGTGCTGCGTCAGTCACTGCCTCCGCTCCGGTCGGGTTTTTTTCCTCTCTCTCTCTCCTCTTCCTCAGGATCCACTCCCTCTTTCCTATTCACTCTCTCTCTTTCTTTACATTTTTTAATCACAATTGTCTATTTGTTGCTCATTTTAAATACATTTGAATCATTTTCTAAATTCTTTTTTCTATTTTACATGTTTTGTTTTTGTGAAGCACCCCGTGATTTTTATCTTGAGAGGCGCTACAGAAAGATCTTCTCTTCTCTCTCTCTCTTAATTCAAGCACTTAAATATTAATGTTCTGATTTTACTGAAAAACTTGCTTTGTAATAGTTCCTTTACTATTGTGATCAAAAACATTAAATCTCAACTCTGAAGCTGCTCTGTAAATAATTTTCAAATAAACAATACACATAGCAACTTCTGATCAGACTTAAAATAACGTACAGATGTAAACCACACCCACTTCCAGTTAAACCACACCCACTTCCGGTTAAACTACACCCACTTTCGGGTTAGGCCACACCCACTCTGTACAGATACAGATAGTGGTGTACTCGCTCATCCCATCGTTGTCATGTTGGAAAACTAACCTCACACCATACGACCATGCTCGGGTCTGCAGCCACAGGTTACCCGCCGCTACCTGACTTCTAGAACAAACATTTGCATCAACTCCAGAGGGTCCTGAAGGATGATCAAACCAACTCCAAAGTCACTTTCTGTCATGAAATTAAACATGGCATCACATTAGTGAAGAAGGTTTCATGATCCTCCACAAAACCCTGAAGCGTCAGCCCCGGGTCCCTAAAGCTGGTCCAGGTACAGGATTGAAGCTCCGCTCAACCAGAGGTTCTTCATCAACGGCAGCAAGCAGGTGTGGGCTCACCTGCAGCACAGTGAGGAGACTTTTGATAAATGACCTGGTGCCAAAAGGGCAGCATAGAAGCCACCTCCCAGAGAACCAGCAGGAGCAGCATGAAGAAGCTAAAGGTCCAGGGATCAGACTGCTCTCTCTGATCAACCTTCTGATTGTTTGGAGCATCTGGAGCTGAAAAGGTGAGTGACCAGGAGTTGATCGTTGGGTGCTGTTCCCGATGTAGCGGAGACATTATCAACCCGTCGTCCTCGTTCCTTTTTATTCAGCTTTACAGACGGTCACCAAACAGGTCCAGGTTTTATTAGTTCTCTTTTACCAAATAAAACAACAAGAAACTGTCTGTGATTGGCTGAGCCCATCACGGCGCTCTGCAGAAACAATAATTGTTTTGTGTCACAACCTTTAGATTCGTCTAGGAGCATTCAAGGTGCCTTAAGTAGTTTAATATATCCGTAAACGTCTGAGCATCCTGACTGATCAGTCCACATGTAGAGAAATTAAAATGAATACGTAACACTTTCCATTAAACATGAATCACAAGGAGCAACAGCAGCTCTGGTGGCATTTAGCTGCAGGGTCTTTGTGCAACCTTCATAAAAATCCCTCATTATCGAAGCCTGACAGCGTCCCGCTCACCCTCATCTGACATTTTCTAGGTTCCATCGTGAAGCATCTATTCAACGCAGCTCAGCTTGTCAGAACTTGTGTCGATCAAAGAGGGTTCTGGTAGAAACGTGGCCTAAATGGGTCCGACCTGAACCCGACCCTCTGCTTCAGTCCTTCAGACCAGCCGTGCTGAGAGATTCTCTCATCCCAGTAAAACGAGGCGAAGCGTCACATCCTCCCCAGCTGAGGTGACGGGATAATGATTCACTCGCTATACTCACCTTCCTACTCGGATCTGCTCCACAGCAGTTTTTTAATGTATCTAATTATCCCACTGGATAATCACAAGCCTGTAATTGGGCAACCTCAAACATTTCTTTTCTGTTTTGTTAATCATCGGCTGCATGATGAATAAAACCACATATTAGTGGATTCTCAGCGAGCTGCTGGCTCTCCTAAAACCTCACGTCTGAATGTAGAATTTGCTTCGTATTGAAGTAGCTGACAGCTGCTTTAGCTAAACGAGGA